ATCTCAGATGGAGGGGGCACAGTGTCTCCAAGTGGCTCGGCCCAGCCTCAGGGCTCCTCACACACACCCAGGGCCTCTGGAGTGGGAAACTCCTGCATCCTCCACTTCCCTCAGCTCAAAACCAGGGCAGGTTCGAAATGTCTGCTCACCCTTCTTGACACCTGCTCAGTGGAGCCCCAGGTTGGGGGTGGGGGTTGGAGGTGAGGCAGCCTCTGGCCTCACTGGAGGGAGGTGGTGGGCTGAGCAAGCTGGCAAAGGACATGACCTACAGGGTGGGTTTGAGGTGGGGAGTGATTCAGGCAGATGCCTGTGTGGCCCTGCTGACCTAGCCCAGGCAGGGTGTGACAGGTCTGCCCAGCTCTGAGGGCACAGCTGCCTCCAGTCTCCAGCTCACTCCTGATCCCCAGGACCACGTATCCAGAAAGCCTGGGAGCTTGGATCAGCTGGACACAGATGGCCTGTCCTTCCAGCACCCCTGCTAGGGCTTCCTAGGAACTGATTGGTATAGACTCCGGGCAGCAGACGGCCAGACTCTGCCCACAGGGTCCCTGGCTCCTCCCATGAGGTCACCCCATAGAACTGACTGTGCCCCGTCAAGCCCTCCCTGCTAGCCCCTCACCAGCCATCAGCTGCTCCCCCTCTCTTGCCTGTTGGGCTCTGGGGGTGATGGCTCCGCGGTCGCCTGCCCAGAGAGTGCACCACTCCCCATGCTGCTCCCCACCTGGCTACACCCTGAAAAATGTACCTTACCAAACCGTCCCACATGCGCAGCCTGAGAAGTGGACTGTGCCTTGCTGGCAGCAGACCAACCAGCTGCCTAGCCCTGCTCAACTCTGCTTCTGCACCCCTATAACTCCCTGTCAACGCTGGCCCGCACCTAACCAGCCAGCCAGCACTCAGAAGGGGGCCCAGCTTCCAGAGAGGAGGGCGCTGGCCAGGGTGCTGACCGAGGTGGCAGACAGTCAACCAGCCTATCCCTCAGCACTCCCTCTGCAGGCCTCCGCCCTGTTCCCACTGCACAGAACTGTGGGCAGGTGGAGGCCCAGGCCTCAGCCCAGAGCAACAGGGAACAGCTGGGCTTGGTGGCTGGAGAGGGTTCCGGTGCCAGAAGCCTCCAGGACAGCCCTGGCTCCCCATTTCCTCCCATGTCCATCCCATGCCCCAGAATGGCCACTTTGGCTGCTGCAGGAGGGGTGGGAGGGGCTTTAAACCTATGAGAGAGGGGGTGGGGTCACAATCTTCAGCTGTAGTAGGCCGCTCTGGATCACTGATAATTGAAGTGACGCCTGCGCAGTAAGCACAGAAGTGTCTCTCAAGGCCTCTCTGCAAGCACAGAGCAGCCCAAGACTGGAGCCTGGTCCATCCCAGCGCTGTCCTCAGACTGATGGCCAGTGCCACATGACTCGTCTGAGGATGTGATCCATCCCTGTGGTGAGAGCTCAATTCCTAGTCTGGGGGCTGCTGTGTGCAGGGACCCTGGAGGAAGAATGCTTGTGTGGGGGTCAGGCCTTAGCCTCCCACTGGCTCTGTGAGCTTTGCCTGAGGTTCCCCATCTGTGCAATGGGTGACGACGTCTCGATGTGGCTATGGGAGGACCCAATGAGGCACAGCAGGGGCTGAGATGGTGGCACTTGGCAGCCAGCACCGACTGGGGAGGTGGCAGTGTGTGCACAGCCCACCCCTTCAGGAGGCTGGGGGCAGAGTGGCTGGGGGTGTCTGGGCCCCACCTCACCTTCTGTGTGGCTGGGAATGGCATGCACTCCACAATGCCCTGGTAAGCCTAGGCTGGGACAAGGGTGACAGGGATAAAGCAGGCCAAGGTGATGAGGGCCACAGAGCGGCAACCAGAGATGTGTGGGCACACCAGGCAGAGGGCCCGGCCCGCCCAGCATGTCTCCGCCCCGCGAAGCTGCCTACCACTGGGCTGAGATGGGAGCACCGGGGCTCTGGGAGGTCCTCACTTCCTCTGGACAAGGCAGACAGGCCATCAGTCTTGCAGCCTGCTCATCTTCCTCAGGGCCACCTCCATGGCCAGGGTCAGGCAGAGAGCACAGGACTGCCCAGTCACCAGGTCTCTGTTTCATATCAGTGGACCTGGGCTCTGAGGGGGGCCATCAAGGCCTCAGGCTGGCCCACTCCGTCCTTGGGTCAGGGTCCTTCAGACTGACACAGGCTGGCCTGCAAGACCGTCATCTGCATGGTCCTCTCATGCAGGGTGGGCCTGGGGAGGACCCAGCCCGGCTGAGCTGACTCGCAGCACTTGTCCAGGTACGGGGCAGTCTGGCAGTTGTCTGAAGACCCCGGGATGCACTTAGGAGCTCATCAGTGAGGCCCGGTGGATGCCCCAAGCAGAAGGCAGAGAAGGGACACCTGCACCCCTGTGGGGTGTGTGCAGGGGCATCACTGGGTTCTCTGGCCCCATGGCCCCCCCACCCCGCCCCGTGGGGGCTGGCTTGATAGAGTGGGGGATACTAAGCAGGTAGCCTCCGAGAGCCTCTTCTGGGTTTGGAGTCCCCATTCCACAGGAGGGGAGAGGTGGGGGACCCCTGAAGGGTTACAGGTAACATCAGGCCTGGATCCCTTCCCTGGGATGGTGCAGAGAGGACCACAAGGCCCAGGAGGGCCCCCAGAACTCTCTTAAGCCTTGAGCCTGTTTCTTAGTGAAAAATGGGGTGATCGTGCTCCAGAAAGGGGTTTCTGTGCAGGGGGCCGGGGGCAGGGTTCATGGGTTTAGTGAGACCAGGAAGGGAGTGGGTAGGCAGAGGCCATCCCCAGGCCTCGGGACAAAGCACTTGCCCGCTTGAGGAGCAGGCCAACTTAGGCCGCCACACCTCGGGCCTGTGCCCTGGTCCACTGCAGCCCAGGCCGCCATCCCCTTGGCCTCCTGCAGGGGCCGCCGCCTCTTCAGGAATGCGCCGCCTTTGGGGCCGCGCCGCCAGAGTACACTGGGCTGGCTGAGAGCCTCCTGCCGCCTGGCCTGCAGCGCGCCCGCTCCTGCCGGCCGATGCCCCGAGCTCCCAGTCCGCCGCAAGGTCCATCCCTGGCCTGTCGCCGACCCGCCCCACCTAGCGGGCGGGGCAGTTGGGCAGATTCCTTGCACCTCACCTGATCGCAGACGACTTTCATCCTGCTGGCGGCCGGCGCCGCGAGCGCCCCGCCAGTCCGCGCCACTGCCGCCCTCGCCCTGCGCGCCCATGGCTAAGCCCAGCCCAAGCCAGGAGGAGCGGAGCGCGCCTAGCTCCAGCCAGACTGGAGCGGCTGGCGCCTGGATGTGGACCCAGCGGCGGGGAGACCCAAAGCGACTTTCGGTCCCCAAGGCGCCCGCCCGATCCCTGCGATGAAGAGGGCGTCTGCTGGAGGTGAGTGTCCGTGGTGGGGGCCTGGCCTGGCAGTCAGGCCCTTGGATGGGGAAACAGGCAGGTTAGTGGGAGCCTAGAAGAGGCAGATGGGGCAGGTGGAGCCATAGAGATTCCTGGTAGGACCCTGCCTGTGTGCACCCAGAACTGGGAGCCACGGAGGGGAGCATGGTGTCCTGGAAGGGGCTGGCATGGGACGTCCAGGCTTGGCATCTGTCCCTTGGCCAGCATTGACCTAGGCCAGATGGGCGTCTGCCCCCAGGAGCACTGTGTACCGGGATGCCTGGAATTCCATCTTACAGAGTGGAATTAGTCACTCTGTAAGGCCTATGGAAGACTTTGGAAGATTTGAGACCTGCTTGAGAAAGCACATTGCCTTGGGTTGTGTGAGTGCTCTGTGGTCACTGGAATGGTGGGCAGCACAGGGCGGTCTGTGCAGTGATCAGGAATGCTGAACAGCCCCAGGGTGCCATCCCTCCTTCTGGGCCACCCTGAGAGGCAGGCCTGTGGCTGGACCCCATGCACCTAGACGAGCCCCATCCCTAGGGACCTCTCCCCTCAAGACTGATGTTCTTCCTGGAGAGAGTCACGTGGTGGAGCAGTAAGTCTGGGCCTCCTTGGCCAAGGGTCTGAGTCTGCAGGCATGCAGGGGCCGTGCCTTGCAGGAGGAGGCAGCTCTGCTTGGAGATGAGGGCTCTGGGTACGTCATGTTCCTAGGACTCCTGGGTCCAGTGGGGGACTTGGGTCTGGTTGGCCAAGTCCATTGAGCCCACATTTACCCTGATCCTTTTCTGGCTTTGTGGTTCCTGAGGCTCTTGTCCTTAGCCCAAGCCCAAGCCCATGCCCATGTGCCCATCACAGAGGCTAGACGAGGCTCATCCTCCCTGTGGCTGCCCTGAGTGGTGGGCCCCTGGGGCTGCGTGGCTCAAAGGGCGGAGCCCTGGGTGTCTGCAGTAGCCAGCTGTGGCCTCCCTCCTGCTGCAGAGCCCCTGCCCCTCAGCCATGGATGCTCAGGGACAGGGCCGTGGGTCACTGTGTGGCTCTTATGGCTCCTTGAGGCCTAGTTCCTGAGGCCATGGTGCCAGGTGTGGCCCCCCATGGGTGCTGACTGGCGGCTGCGGGCAGGGTGGCAGGTGGGCAGTGGTGAGAATGCCTTCTCCTTACAGGTTGCAGGCCCTGATTCCCTGACCCTGGGGGACGACAGCATCCGTAGCCTGAACTTTGTGTCTGAGCTGAGCCTGGACCTCCCTGACTATGGGCCTGGGGACCTGCACACAGCCTAGCAGCCATCCCCACCACTCAGCGCCTCTGATACCTTCTCAGCACTTTGTGCTCCCTGAGCCTCAAGGCCTCGAGCTGGCGGGGCGGGGACCACGTGGCTCTTCAGCCCCTGCACTCCGAGGGTGGACCCCCCCACGCCCCACCGTAGCATCTTTGCCCCCCATGCACTGCCCAACCGCAACAGCAGCCTGTCCTATGATAGCGTGCTCAACCCTGACCCACCTGGTGGCCACGCCAACTGCTGGATGGGCGGGGCAGGCGTGGCCACCAGGTTGTTGGCCGCCACCGCCAGCATCCCAGCAGTTAGGCGTGGCCAGACCACCACTCACCCCTACCTGCACCTAGGACAACGGGTGACCCACCATGACCCCTGCCCCGCAGCTTCCAGCCCGTGCTGGGCCGCGGCCCCCAGGCCCTTGCCTGTCCTACAACAACCTGTCCAGGGCCATCATGGCATCATCCAGGAGCACAAGGACAGGGAGGGCCCATGAGTGCCTGCTGCGATCCCAGGCCAACTCACTCTTCGGCGACTCGGGCATCTATAGCGTGCCCAGCTTCTATACCCTGCAGCAGGCCAGTGTGCCGTCCCAGGGCCCCCAAGGTTCGCGCTGCGCTACGGCTCAGAGAGGACCTTGTGGCTGGGCCACGGCTTCGGCGGTGCCATCAGCCCTGCCTGCAGACCTCACTGTCCTTGCTGTCAGCTCCGTGAGCCATGCACCGCAGATGTCGTCCTCCCTGCAGGCTGATAAGGCCAGCAGCAGCGCCCTGGGGCCCCAGTCCAGCAGTGACTCACACAGGAGTCAGTCACACTCCAGGGCCTGCCACTCCTGACAAAGGCACTCTGACTCACCGTCCTACGTGGGCCCCAGAGCTGTCGCTTTCATCCACACAGACCTCCCAGAGCCACTGCCCTCGCTGGCTCCGTGCAGAGGTGGAGTGCCAGGAGGTGCGGGTGGGCTTCCTGGCACCAGGAGCAGCTTGTCAGCCGTCTGCAGGGCCCCTCTTGGCTGGGCACTCATAGGTCATCCCAGGGGCCTGAGTTTTTCTCTGGGGTCGGGACAGGGAGGATGCGCCTCGCCCTGCCTTGAAGGCCCTAGCTGGCCACGTATTGGCCCAGCTCTGAGGATGTCCTGGGCACAGGGTATGAGAATTGTGTCCTGAGCCCGACAACTCGTTCCCCAGAGCTGGCACAGACCCATGTGGGAGGCCGTGGGAGCTTTCTCCTTGGGAGCCGGTGTCATGCGGCAACCTGTAGGCCTCCTTTAGGCTGTGGCTCTGTGTCTGTAGCAAGCTCTCCTGGTGTTGCTTTGCTTGCATCTCTAGGAGGCTGGGGCTGAGGACATTACCTAGCCACAGAATGTGCCACCCTGGGTGGCCAGGCCCTAGCCCTCCCTGTGGGACATAGTTCAGGAAGCAGGGACTTCCCTGCTTGTAGGTGAAACTGAGGGACTGGAGAAGCAGGTGTGCTCCCAGGCACCCAGTAAGGTTGGTAACTGAGAAAGCAGAGTCCGCTGGCTTGCAGGTGAGCCCAGGTAGGAGAACTGCACACCTGCTGGGGCCAGGACCCGAGCACCGCAGGTGCATGGTGTCACCATGGCGTCTGTTGCCCCATCTGGGCCTGGAAACCTCAAGCACAGGCTCAGGTGTTTCCCACGTCGTCAGATGCAGCCCCAGAGAGAGCCCAGCCCAGCCTAGGCCAGGCCATGGCCACAAAGGGGCTGAGGGCACAGCCAGTCCATTCCAGCCTGAGAGTAGACCTCCCCCTACCCACAGGGGGTGGGAGTCTGTCAGCTTTTGTGGAGTTGGGGGAGGCTGCCATTGGCAGTGATGAATGGGAGCCTAGACCTAGAGTAGGCAGCATTGCAGCCAGGCAGGGATCGCAGCCGGGGACAAAGGGCTCTCGCCTCCAAGAAGGTTTAGCGGCAAAGTGGAGGCTGCTGTTGGTCAGCGCTGGTGGGCAGGAGGCAGGCGCCTCGTTTTCCTGAGAGAGAGCAGGAATGAGGCCAGGCAGAGTGACCAGGCTCCCAGGGCAGGGCAGGGCAGGGGCTCCGGTCAGTGCCCACCTGGCTGCCCCATGCTCTCTGGGGCCAGTGCTGCCTAGGAGGGACCCAGGGACCTGGGAGGGGTGGCAGTTCTGATGACATCATGTCTGTCCTGTGACCTTCACAGCCACTCCCCCAGGCAGGCTCTGCATCTCCTGTCTGCTTTCCAGATGAACCCTCGGCCCAGAGGGCAGGGACTGCCCTGGGCCCCCACAACATGGTTACACAGTCCGTCCGTGTCGTCACCTGTCCTGCTGCCTCCTCCGTCCTCTGTCCCCATGAGTTCCTGTGTTCACCCCGTGTGCATACTTTTATGTGCTTGTTTGATGCAAAGGAACCACCCTCAACTGAAGACTCCCAGAGTAAGCAATGGGCAGTCCCGGGTCTGGCCCGGCCCCCTACGAGGCACATGCTGGTTAAGAAGGTGTCTGGCGTGGGTGGGACCACGTACGAGATCTCGGTGTGAGGACTGACCACTACCCATCCGCTGTAGTGCCATGGGGACCAGGACCCATAGCGCACCCCACCTCCCCACCACTTCTCTGCCCCAGGGGACACAGGCCACCTAATATAGTATGGACCCATCGGCGGGAGAGGTGCCACGCCTCCACACCTTGCCCCGGCTTCCTGCCTGCTCCATCCATCATCTGGCCATGGGGAAGTAAATGGGACAAGGGCTGCTGGGCTGGTCTGTGTGGAGCCCGTCCCATGGCTGGGGCAGTGAGGCCTAGTCATCCTCTTTGGGGCACCTCTCTCAGCCAGGCTTGGCCTCCCATCACCCATGCCCAGATCGCCATAGACCAGCCCCAATGATCCCGCTACGGACGGGTCCCAGGGATGGACAGAGGCATCCAGGACCTCCGCTGTCCTTCCGACACAGCCTGTGGGCTCCGGGACCGAGTGTCCCCCATGGGCTTGCCTAACTACTTGTGATGCCTTTCATGGACCCCGCTGGGAGTCGTAGCTTAGCAAGGCCAATGCTTCTGCTCTGGCCTGTTCACCAGGCTGATAGTGGATAGGTGGACAGTGTGTCATGTGTCAGTGCTCCAGCTGCCACTGTCCCTTTCATCAAAGCCTCAACCTTTGCTTTATGCTCTTGTGGGAAGTGATGGGGCAGGCGGAAGCAGGCACGGGGATGATGCTGCCACGGGGCCTGTGACACCCAGAGCCCCCTCCCCAGGCCTCAGGCCCTCCCTGCCAAACTGGAGAACTGCCCCAGGGCACCTCCGTCCCAACCTGGCCTGGCTGCGGTGCCGCCGTGGAAAACACACTGGGGAGGATCCGTGCTTCCCTTGGCGTCAGGGGACCTGAGGAAATGGCCTGCGACAGCATCCACCTGCATTGTGTCTGTTTTATGTTTTATATCTGCCTCTATATATCTATAATTTTGTCTTTAAAAAAGAAAAACTTATTTTGATTCTCTCCTTGGGCAAGACCAGGGCTGTTGCTGCAGGACCCCAGAGTTAGGAGGCCGGAGGCTGGGCCCTGGAAGAGAGAGGTAGCTGCTGTCTGGTGTGCAGGGGTAGGTGAGTTCCTCAAGAGGCATTTCTGTGGGCAGGCTGAGTCAGAGGCTTAGGAAGAGGCGTGGCCGATGGTCTGTGGCTGGGAAGTGTGAAGTCTGCTTGCCTTGGGTCTGCATCCAGTTCTGGCAGTGATAGGGTGTTTGGGGAAAGACTTGGAGTCTGCCGCTTACCCACAGAGTCCCAGGAACCCAAGAGCTTGGCGAAATGAGTGTGTGAGGTGCATAAGGGCCACCTGCTGGCTCAGGGTCATGTGGGGGCTGCTGAACCTGCTGGAACTCTCCTGCACAGTGACAGATGCCGGGGCAGGGCTGAGGGAGTGTGAGGGATGCGCGGCTGTTCAGGAGGCTGAGACAGCCTGGGCTGGGAGAAGACTGTCCCAGTGCGGGAGGGAGTGCGGGCTGTAGGGCCCCGAAGCTGGCGCCTGTGCTGACCACCTTTCTGCTTCTCTCCACGGACGCCGTGGCCGCAGAACAGATTGGCACCTGTACCGTGGATGGGGCTTAAGCGTGACCAGCCTTGGGTGCCTCCTGGGCTGCACCTGTGCCACCTTGGCCTGGAGAACCGCCCACCCTGCCGGGCCTGGGCCTGACCACCTGCAGAAACTGCGTGCAGATACATGTGCCGCCCTGCACTTGGCTACCTGTTCTTTTCCCCGGCTTCCTCTCTGGGCCCTAGCAGGATGACAAGTAGGCAGCTCTGGGGCCTGGGACAGCCCAGCTGGGGACGCAGGAGGTCAGACTGCCATGGATCCTAGGGCAGGGCTGGATGTGAGCTGGGCTTTCTTCTCCACCAGCCACAGCTTGACAGACTCCCAGCCTGCCAGGGCCCAAGACCCTGTGTCCACGTGACCTCAGTGAGTCCCCACCTGCAGGGGGTCCAGCACCCCACAGGGGGCAGCACCAGAGCTGCGGGGACCAGCACAAACTGCTGAGCCTCCCTGTCCAACCAAGCTCTTTAGACCAAGCCACTTCCTCTCGGGGAGCGGGCCTCCGTGGGTTGGAGGGCTGGGTGTGGCTGGGAGGTCTCAGATTGCCCTGAAGGTCTCTGCACTTCTGCCCTTCGCCTGACACATGAACAGATGCAGCAATTTCCTGGAGTCGCCAGCGTGGTGAGCCACCAGCCCTGCCACCAGGGTCCTGTGGTCATGGCCAGCTCTGCCTGGGCCCCACTGGGACTGCCTGCACCCAGAGACGATGCTGATGGGAACTCAGAGGGCCCGAGGCCCAAGCCCTGTGTCCTCAGCAGAGTGGCCTGTAGCAGGGTGGCACTCCGGCCAGCCCTTCTTGACTTTCAGGGTCCCTGTCCTGGTTTACCCTGGTAGCTCTATTTCTCCCATTTTGGGATGAAAGCCAAACTCTCCTGCATTGTTCTTAAGGGCACCCTGCTAATTAATTCCCCAAGTAAAATTTTTTGGTGTTGATCTCACAGCTCTGTCTACCAACGTAGCTGCTGTACCGGACAGGGCCCTGGGTTGGGAGGTGACAGGACCTGGGCAGGAGGTGGTGGCCAGGAAGGGAGGGGAGTTGCATGAGGGGCATGAGGTCAGTGGATCAGCAGATTCAGTGCTGAAAACCCTGACCTCTGAGGTCCTGGGAGGCCTGGCCCAGGGGCAAGAACTGAGGACCCCTAGTCTTTACTGCTGTTGCCTTTCCAGTGGAAACCCTCTAAGACCCCTTGAGGTCAGAGCCCTGTGCAGAGGGCACCTTCTGGAGGCAGGTGGGATGTGGGGTGGGAAGCCAGCCCTGAAGCTGGGAGTCTCCACCCTGAGGACCCTCGCTATCAGGGATGGCAGGTGTCCCTTCCCCAATTTCACAGAGCGTGCTTACCGGCCATGTATGTAGAAATGACTCTATGTCCAGCCACAGGCCCAGCCCTCAGGACAGACCCCGCCTCTACCCTTCTCTGCACCTCCTGGCAGGGATGGTGCACAGTGGTCACCGACATGGCCACTGGGCATCTGGGGCAGTGCTGGTCGCCTGGCCTCCTCCTTGCTGGAACCGCTGGGCCTCCAGCCTAGGACAGGAGGCCATCCACCTCCCAAGGTGCAGGAAGGAGTCAGCAGGGCCCCAGGCTTCAGATGGGGGGCATGGCTCAGCAGAGTGCTTCCAGCCTCAGCTATGTTTACCATGTACATAGGTGCCCAGCAGGCACCAACGGCAACCTCAGGGTCAGCAGCCTACAGGTGGCAGCAGTCAGGGGCAGGGGGTGTGCAGGGGCCTGGGGGCTCAGGCTCTGCTGCCAGTCACCTACAGGCTGGCCTGCCAGGCCATGGGCCTCGGCTTTGGCCTCCACCTGCTGTTGGGGAGAGGCCCACCCCGGCAGTCCAGGCTGAGGCAGGGATCCTGACTTTGGGAAACCTGCTCAGACAGGGCTCCCCACCACAGCCCTGGC